GAAAGTAATTTCTGACTATTCCATCGGCATGTCCATCAATTTCGAAATTCTTCAAGAACGAGTCACAGATCTGTTGTTTTGTCTTCTGACCCGTTTGGAAGAGTTTATTCTTTGAGACGTCATACGCTGACATCAAGTCTTCTGACGTTACCTGAAATATTTACGAGCTTCTCCTCATCTGTATGGCGGTGAAAACCTTTCTGTATGATATACTCACCAATAAGGTATTACCATAAAAACCTTCCCCATATCATTTCTATCCTTATATTTGCTTAAGACCGTCGTTCCAACACATCAAATTCATCACATTCTCTGCTATTGCAACCGTTTTTGACGAAAATCGCTTGTTGTCACAAGGCATATCATATATCTCAATGATTGACTGCCTGCATTATCGAATCCTGGTTAATCTCACCGATGAGCGATATTCCCGTCGAAGTGAGTTGATCAAAAATGAAATCTGATCAAATGAATACATACAATCAACTAACCTTTCCGTCGCCAGTCTTATCGAGTTTATTGAACGCTAATTCGATCAGTTTTACGCGTGCTTCGGACATTGGAGGCTTTAATTTTGTTTATTAGTAATCGCCGTCATAAATGATAATCAAGGCAATATTCAAGTGAATCTATGAAACAGCTAACCCGCAACGATCTCAGAAATTCATCGAAGTCAATAGTGCCCGTCAAATTCTTATCAATAGTCGTGAAGATCGTTTTAATATCGTCATCACTAATCTCCAATCCGAAATTTCGAACACCCTTCGTAAACTCATCCAGATCCAGTTGTTTATTCTCGTTATCGTCCATTATCAAAAATGCGCTAAGACAGGCACATTTCGATGGATGTATCATTCAAACAGATCTATCATTAGATCAATCAATTCACTAAACTGATCCATAATACATNAAGATCGTCGTCTCAATACATCATCAAATTCATCACATTCTCTGCTANCATTAATATCTCAGCACATAAATATCAAATACAAAAAGCAACCTACCGTGCAAACTGTTTAATGCCCGCACTTCCACGAGCCAGGCACTGAAGTCGAAGTTTTTCTATCGGGTCATTGGTCTGTTGAATAGCCTTTAAGGCTCGTTGTTTCAGTTCCTCATCGCAGAACACTGACTCATTCATTGCGATCGTAATTTATATCAAACAATCGAAAATCAAATCAATTTATTGAATATTCATTCAAAAAACAAACAATTTCACATAAACAAATCGTATCAACCGAACTGATATACATCTAGGTATATAATGTAAATGCAAAGGGATTTACAGAGGACACAACAATCTACCATATACAACTGCTTTATGCATTAATAAAAAGCATCTCATCTAGTATTCGAGCGATGAACCTATGTGAACTTGAATTGTTACCATAACAACCACTCAATTAATTTTGTTAGTTCCACGAAGTACATTCGTTTACTTCGTTCAGTATTATTTAATCATTGTAATGTATGCATTTAATCCATATTCATATATTTCTGCATACTTACGATAAATATTAACTTCTTTCTCGGTAATATGATCCTCCACTTCCAATTGATCTAGTTAATGAATCTGAACAGTATTTGAGGATCATTTTAACTTTAAGGATGCATTAAGTAAGGATCAATTTTCTGCATTCGATTAAGTCAGTGGTTCTCACGTTCGGGTACTCCATTACCCCTTTTGATGATCCGGCAGGCCGCCGTTACCT